TTCACCCTTCAGTGCCCTGACTGAGGTATAATACCCACCATGGGCATTTCTGCCCCTAACTCCCCAGTGAACTGATTGTGTGCGACTTTGTGCCAGTATGAACCTCCTGCTTGATTCTGACTCCGTGCTAATCGTGGGCCCCGTGGGAGGTGGTAGGATGGGCCCATCAGGATGGTGGGCCACAGGTCAGACAGTGTGGGCTCCAGTCCTGGCCTTCCAAGCTTGAGCGGGACTTCACCCCTTAAGCTTGATGTCCTCTGTGGGCTGCCCTGAGGACTAATGAGATGGTGCCTGGGAAGCCATGTGGGCGGGGCCAGAGCCCATGCAGGACTCAGGAGGCAACCCCATGGTCAGGGCTGCACCCCAGCCCCCACATGAGCATGCAGGGGCCAGGTTGAGGGCCATTTGCTTTGTCGTCTCCTGGGGCTTAAGGGTGGGGTGGGTTAGTGTGTGTGGATGTGGTGGTCTCAGTCTGTCCGCTGAGTTTGCTCCACATAAAGTGAGTGGCTATCAGGGCAGAGAGAGGGGTGGAAGCAGGGCCTGGGGGCAGTGGAGGTGGATGTCCAGTCCCCAGCACCCGGTAGGTTAGCCGAGCCCCTGCAGGGTGGAGACTAGAATGGGTGCTTTGGGGCACTCCTGCCCAGTGCCCTGTAAGCAGGGCTTTGAAGGAGCCCAGAGGGACTAAGGCAGGGCAGAGTCAAACACATGAGGAAGAGGAGTGGGTATGGGACACTGCAGCCCAGGGCACCTGGCCTCACATGGACAATCAGGCCAGTTTCCAGGCCAGGAAACACTAATGGGAGATGAAAGTGGGACCCCGGTCCAGATCCCATCCTGCCAGGGAGGGCTCCGTGAAACATCCTCAGGAGCCATCCTGCAGGCTGCTGGCAGCTCCGGGAAGCTGCCCCCTCATACATCTGCCCACGCATCCATGAGTGGATGGAAGTGGAGGTGGCAGCTTCCTTGGTGCTCCTGATCCTGCAGATCTGCAGGCATGAGCTTGACTGGACCCAAAGATCAGCTCAGCCACCAGGACCCTCCTGGACCCTACCAGTTACAGGCCTTCTAGCTTGCGCTAAACTGTCAGGATGCAGGGAGTGGGTGTGGCCAAGTTATGGTGCTGCTGGACTGTTGGTTTTGAGAAAGTTGTGATGTGCTCTATACACAAACACAGAGATACACAGACACACACAAGCATATGCATAGCTGTGCATGTGTAGAATGCATAAACACACATGTATTCATACATATGCCTATGTGCATGTATGTACATGTATTCACACACCCACACATCTGCACATACTTGGTGTGTGTGCATTAATACGTATCTCTACATGCACGTGCATACATGCATGCATACATGTGTGCATAGCGCCTGTCTACACGTGTGCATGCATACTATCTAGTTTCTCTAAATGGTGGAGTAGAGGTCACCTTCAAGCCATTCCCCAATGCTCAGTCTTCACTCACTCAGAAATACGGAAGAAAGTCATGCACCAGGGAAAATCAGCAGGTGTCGTCTGTTAGAAAATATTTTTAAGAGCAACTGGAAGCATTATTTTTAATGAGTATAATGATGCATTCGTGTTTATGTGATGTATTCTGAATGGGCCCAAGATGACTGCATGCTCAAAAGAACACTCTTGTTTCACCAGGGTAAGCGCTAATTGTGGTTGATGTTTTTTTCCAGGGAAGCAGTGCATCTTCCAGGCAGAAGCCCGTGCAGGTCTGGCATTTTCACCAGATTTTGTTATTACATTTGTCTCACAGCTTTAAAATAGTAGCAAATATGTGCAATTTATTTAAACAACACTAGGGAAATTAACGCCATGCAAGCTCATCCTAAGCAAATGAAGATGAAGGTTTTTTTAAAAAAACGGCCACACAGAAACCCTTTAAAACTCAGAGTCTGAGATTCAGAGGGCCTTGGTGAGCCACTGCTGGTTCTGAAGCACCACCAGCTGGGGCATACCAGCCAGGCTCTGCCTCAGTCTCCCGTTGGGAGATGTGGGAGAGCTGCAGACGGCCAGAGGGCCCCTCCTAGAGGCGGTGCCAGAGGCTCCCCTCTCCCTCATCTGGGAGAGATTGGTCCAGGTGGCCTGCCCTCATGCAGACCTGCTCAAAAACAAAAGTAATGCTTCCACCGCCCATCTCCAGAGGTGGATCCCTGATCACCTGTGGGCCGGGAGACCCCCAATCCCCAGCCACAGTACATCTCAGGCGTGGTTGGCGGCCACACCCCAGAGTTAAGTCCTGGGTAAGACCTAGGAACCTGCATTCCTAAGGAGCTCTCCAGGGTGCTGAGCTGCTGGTCCTGGGACCAGCCTGAGAGCTCAACCCTGTTTCTCCCAGTCTGGGATTTATGGAACAGATCCCTGGTACAGGAAACATCTCTCAGACCCCCTTTTCCCCTGGTTCCCCACCTCTTCCATGGGACAACTGCCCAGCTGGGACCACCATGTCCAGCAAAGGGGGTTCACAGGCAGAGACCACAGAAAGGAGGGGTGGCACTTTCGGGTGCTCCAGCCTTGGGGTCAGACTCCTGGCATCCAAATCCTACCTCTGTTGAATGGGCTGTGTGCGCTTCAGGGCTGCCTTGGCCTCTGCGAGGTAGTAAGGCAGGGATGGATGACGGTGCTCCCCGCTGAACTGGTGAGAGGAAGGATTCAGAGGGAGACTGCATGGAACAGCATTTGGCCTGAGCCTGGAACCTGAGTGCATGCCACAGCTCTTATCATCATTCCTGTTGCTATGTTGGTGTTATTTCTAGCTGCTTTCAGCAGTGAGATTGACCTGGTCTTTCTCATCAGAGATGAGAGCTGATTCACCTAAATTGTTGTATCTCCAAGGTAAAGACCAGGCTCCCAGGAAGGTGCTGTCTGTCTGGGGTCAGGTCTTGTAGAACAGGTGGGATGTCTTCGGTGGGAGGGCCTGATGCAGAGTCCTGCTGTCATCCTCATTGGACTTTCAGTACCTATGAGGCACTGGCTGCTGTCTGAGCAAGGAAACCAGTGTGTGCATTTTCTTCCATTTCTTTTTTCTTTTTTCTTTTTCTTTCTTTCTCGCTCTCTCTTTTTTTTTTTTTTTTTTTTTTTTGAGATTAATTTTTACTCTTTTTGCCCCAGCTGGAGTGCAATGGCATGATCTCGGCTCACTGCAACTTCTGCCTCCTGGGTTCAAGTGATTCTCCTGTGTCAGCCTCCCAAGCAGCTGGGATACAGGCGCACACTATCATGCCTGGCTAATTTTATATTTTTAGTAGAGATGGGGTTTCATCATATCGGCCAGGCTGGTCTCAAACTCCTGACCTTGGGTGATCCAGCTGCCTTGGCTTCCCTAAGTGCTGAGATTATAGACATGAGCCACCGCGCCTGGCCTCTTTTTCTATCCTTTAAAAAAATGCAGTAGGTGTGGTGGCTCACTCCTGTAATCCCAGCAATGTAGGAGGCCAAGTGGGGTTGATCACCCCAGGTCGGGAGTTTGAGACCAGCCTGGCCAACATGACAAAACTCCATCCCTACTAAAAATGCAAAAATTAGCCAGATGTGGTGGCGGGCTCCTGTAATCCCAGCTACTCAGGAGGCTGAAGCAGGAGAACCACTTGAACCCGGGAGGCGAAGGTTGCAGTGAGCAGAGATCGCACCACTAAGTGCTAGAGCAAGACTCAAGACTCTATCCAGCCTGAATGACAGAGCAAGACTCTATCTCAAAAACAAAAAAGGAAAACACAGTTCATGCTGTACATTTGCTTTTGTGCTATTTCTCCACTTACTAATATTTTGTGGCCATTTTTTCATGTCAGCCTTAAATGAGTAAACTTTTAATGACTATAATATTCCAAGACAGGAACACAGCCTTTAGAGTTCACTGTCAGACATTCAGATTTGTGCTCTAGTGTTTTTACTTATATAAGAACATTTGTAATAAACATCTGTCTACAAGGACTTTGGTCCACCTGGAGCTACCTGGGGATAGATTTCCAGCTGTGGAGTTATTGGGTCAAAAGGGACCATCCTTTTTGAGGTTCTTCCTAGTCACTGGCAACTGGGAGGCAGAGAGCTGTGCTGAGTGACCGTGGGGCTGCAACAGCAGGAGCCGCATCAGCGTCGGCCCTCACGGCCTTGAGTCTCATGCCAAGCATGGACGCACATTTTCTCATTGTCATCTGATGTCATTCCCAGAGCAGCCCCTAAATTCAGGGCCATTGCAACATCTCCCTGCTGTAAGAGAAGAGCCCAGGATTCTGTGAGAGGAAGGCACACATCCCATGAGCTTTGCACAAACACACAGGCGTGGGTCTGTCTAACGCCAGGTCCCACACCCTCAGCCATCACCCTCCACTCCCTGCCTCACAGCACACTCCCAGCGTTGCAGATTCCCTTTGCTCAGTCTTGTCAACTTGGCAGGTAAAAAAGGATGTGTTACTTTGATATGCATTATTTGATTACTGGGAGACGTGGGCATTTTTCATAAGTTTATTGATCATTTACATTTGTTTTGCTGTGAATTATCTATTTATGTCCTTTCTTGTTAGGAAACAAGATTCCATTTTATTTTCTTACTGATTTGTAAGAGTGCTTTATATAGTGACTATTAACCTCCCATCAAATTGTTATAAATCATGTTTTCCAAATGTGTCAATTGCCTCCTGGGTATGTTTTCATAAATGAGAGTTTTCCAGTAAAACGTATTAGCCTTTTCTTTTGTGATCTCTTGTGTAGTTTTGTGGGGGCTTATGAAGCCCTATCCACGCTTTTGGTGACATTGTCACCTCTGTTTTCTCCTTTCTTTAGGGTTTCTTTTTCCCCGTTTACTTTTGTAACCACTTCCATCGTATCCATGGGGATCTCACTTGATTTTTTTCCCCTAACACTTAGCTCCCATCCCAGCATTATCCCGCTCTTCCCTCTCAGTCCCCAGATCATCTTAGCACATCCTGTTTTCCTCTGTGCAAACCTAACCAGGCTTCATTGCCTCTTCTCTTACCTTTCCAAATAAAGGCACAGAAGGGGAAGAAGATCATGGCTCTGGACCCGTCTCCACCTCCGAAGGACACGTTGTTGCCATGGCCCCAGCACCAGAACTCCAACGGACTGAGGCGGCGAAAACGGGACTGGGTCATCCCGCCCATCAATGTGCCCGAGAACTCACGAGGACCCTTCCCACAGCAGCTCGTGAGGGTGAGTTTGGATCCCCTGCCGTTGGTGCAGGGGTCTCGGCGTGGGGGTCTCGACATGGGGGCCAGGCCCTTCTTTTGACATCACAAAGCCGGGGTGGGCTCTGGTTTGGTGTCTAAGAGGGCTGCAATTTCACCCGTTTGGTAATGAGATAAGCATTACACAGGCGGGAATTCTGGCGAAAAAGCTGCGTCCTCCAAGGCGGATGGGTCTTTGTGAATTGCAGGTGATTTCTGTCTTGGTTACTTTCGAATGGCTGCTCTGGAAGCAGCGAGCAGGGGTGTGGATCATGGCCTTTGACCTCTGACCCCTTTCTTTGGTCTGATTGCTCATATTTATTTCCATGTGTGACTAAGATCGTGGATGATGGGATGGTGGCGTGTCTGCCACAATGATCATTGCGCTGAGGCCAAAGTGGGCTGCGCCGTGGGTCATCCGTGAGTTTGTGGTGTCCCTGAGCGCTCAAGGCCACCCTAGACTACTTTTACCGCAGAAAGAATTTATTTTACAAATTTGTGTTTCTGTAATCAAGGCCATCAACCAGTAATTTCTGCTTCCCTTTGAAGAAAATTGCAGCCCAATCTGAGCAATAATTTGATAAAAGGATGGCGAGAAATCCATTAAATAATTCCCACCCACTGTAGAAAAGCCTCACCCCACTCTTTGGAAATGAGGGTCCCCAGAGTACGCAGAGGGGACATTCTCATTCTTCATGCTGATTAGCCTGGTTTGTTTCTCATTCCTTTCAACACCGAAGGCTGGGATGTGCATTTGGAATGCATAGATGGGCAGAGGAAAGCAGCCACCAGGCAGGGTCCCCCCAGTCTTTGTCTCCCTAACCTCAGCCACCAGGGCACCCTGCCAGGGAGCAGCCAAAATGGCCAGTTGTTTAGAGCAGAAACTCTGATGTGAGTGAATGCAGTGTGTGGCACACCCAGCCGAGGTGACTTGGTTGCAAATACATCACCTGCCTTCTCTGCCCAGAGCCGGCCCTCCCACCTCAGCGCTTCAGCCTCTGCTGCATCCTCCCCATCAAGGGCTCAGCTTTCCTGGGCTGCCCACACCCCTTGAGGGGCCAGTCCAGGTTGGAGATTTTGCTTGCTGTAAAATGCAGTTCAGGGCTTGAGGGAAGCCACCAAGGGTTGGAACCCCATACTTAGGGGAGCTTCCCAGGCCCACATCTCCTGATGCCCAAAGCCCAGTCACATGGCCATGTCTAATTGCAAGGGGCACTGGCAACAAGTCCACTTCCTGAAGGAGCAGGAAATATGTCTGGTGAATGGCTGGTCTCTGCCAAAGCAGTTTCTAAAGATGAGATCAGCCTGTGTCATTTCCTCCCTGATGACCCCACTGTCCCAAGGAGCCCGCCCGCACCACCACCAGAGCCCTCAGCGAGCAGTTCACATGTAATTCACCAACAGGGTCTGCCCTGCTCTAGTTCGCCATAGTGCTTGGTGTTATGCAGCTGAATTATCATGATTTATTTACCGGCTTACTACTCTAAGAGGAGGCTTCCTGAAGGCAAGGATCTTTCCTGTATCCCTCGTGTTGTAAACAGCCCTTGGCTCACAGTGGGCACTAGATTTGTTGAGTGAATGAGTGATAGACGTGATCTCAGTGGTGACTGTTGTGCTGGGCGCCCATCAGCTCACCCTGGAAAATGGCGCAACTGCTGGAATTTAGCAGAAACGTTAGCATTGGCTGTCCTGGCTCTCAGAGTCCTCCAGGTATCGATGTGGCTCACACAAGGGCATCCCCTGCAGCTTCCATCTGACAGAAGAGGGGAGAGCATCCAGACTGAGCTTGATGCCAAGGGAGGACAGACCTTAGTGAATGGAAAATGGAATTTCCATTATGGCTTCCATGGATTTGTTTTCCAAATGGACTCCAAGTCATTACATAAGACTCTGTGCATGCACACACACACACACACAAGCACACACACACACACACACACACACAGGCATGCACACACACACGCATGCACACACAGGCACACACGCATGCACGCACACACAGGCACACACATGCATGCACACATACATGCCCGTGCACACACAAGCATGCACACACACCCGCATGCATGCACATACACACGCGCACACACGCATGCACACACACATGTACACACAGGCACACACGCACACACACGCATGCCCGTGCGCACACAGGCACACATACACACACATGCCTGCACCACCCTGCTTCACACACACATACTCCTACACAGTCACATTTTTGTTTGCCACCTCCCTTTCTCCACCCTCCCCTGTGTCTTCCATTAACTTCTTATCTAGCACAGGCAGTGGTTTTGGAGGTGCTTTCCTGTCCCTGTTTCCATATATAGGAAGCTGATGAGCTTCCTGGCAGCGTTGGAGGGGAGGCGGCTCCTGGAAGAGACGTGGTGAATGCAGCCTGATGTCGGGGGTGGCAGGCTGAGCACAGAGCGCTTTGAGGTTCAGCTGGGATCAGCTGCAATTCTGTGCTCATTAAGGCATTTCATTCTGATAAAACATGTTAAATGAAAAACGAGCAGGAGAGGAGGAGGCAGAATATTCTTCCCCCAAAACATCTGTTAATTATAGGCTTTTTCCTTGGAAGGAATATCACGTCTCTTCCTGAGCACTAGTGGCACCATGCAGGGGGAAATAGGGAACATACTTGTAGAGAGGAAAGCCCCGAAAAACAGAGGGATGGCTCTAATGACAGGCTGTAGAGCCAGGGGTGTCCACGGCAAAGCGGGGAACCATGCCTGGTGGCTCTGCCACTGGAACCAGACTGCAGTCTAAAGTGAGCGGTGAGTGTGGAGGTGTAGCCACATGGCAAAAGGACCACTTGGAACCCCAGGCTGTCCCTTCTTTTCAGGCAGAGGAGGGAGGAAGCTGCTCACCGTCACTGAATTGATTTTCCAGGAAGTCAGATTGGGACTCTTCCTTATGTACCCTGGGGAACTAGGGAAAATGGCAGGAGGGGCATCATTTAAAGGTTAGCAGGATGCCCTCCCTGGTCCTGAACTGGCTCTGGACTGGACAGTTTGGGCACTCAGTCGGGTGCCAAGCAGCATGCATGCACTGGGGATTCAGGGGAGAGGAGATTTAGAGTTCTTCGTGGCCTTCAGGAACCACCAAGCAATCCACATTCTGCGTGAAATTCACAGCTTGGCCCCGGCTGCTATAGAGGTAGCCCCTGCACAGGCACGTTTGTGAAGGGTTTTAAAAGCCACCTGTTGGCCGGCACGCAGTAGGTTTGACTGCAGGCGAGATTCAGAGTGAGGATAAAGGGAAACATTTAAGAAAAGAGTCTATTGCTTGGCTGAGTCTGATACAGATTCACAGTGTGCTGCCTGGCAAGGTGGTCCGGGGCACTGTAGGAGTCGGCTCCAGGTGATGAGGAGGAATGTGGTGCTCTCGGGTGCAAATCCTTTGACTTTGAAGTCGATATTTTAGAAGACAAGAAGTCATGCAAACCAGTCTTCAGGGCTCCTGCCAGAGAGCAAAGCCTGGAAAAGAGCTGTCAACACAAGGCCCTCGAGGACAGTCGCAGAGCCTGAGAGGTGGGCCCCTGGAGGAGACAAGCAGGAGCCCATTTTCAGAGAAGCACGGTCATGGCGCACAGCCACAGGTGGCTCACAAAGCATTGCCCCAGCACCCGACAACTCAAATCAGCTGGAGCGGACAGAAGTGGGACATGTCCTTCAAGTCTTCTGGATACACTGGGTTCCCGTTGGTGCACATACGCCCTGCTGCTTCACATCCAGTCACAAATACTTATGCCATTCTCTGTAAACAGAGATGGGCTGGGTCTTTGGGAACGTGGAGGTGAAAGGGTGCATGCCTGCCCCACACTACTCAGGGCTACTGGAGCAAATGGGTGATGCCCGGAGCCAGGTCTGCATCCTGAGATGTACAGCTGAGGCACTGGAGACCCTCTCTGGCCCGTGGCAGGGGCCCCGTAAAAGTTGATTGGGGCCAGGTACGGTGGCTCACGCCTGTAATCCCAGCACTTTGGGAGGTTGAGGCGAGCAGATCATGAGGTCAAGAGATTGAGACCAGCCTGACCAACCTGGTGAAACCCTGTCTCTACTAAAAATACCAAAAAAAAAAAAAAATTAGCTAGGTGTGGTGGTGGGTGCCTGTAGTCCCAGCTACTCAGGAGACTGAGTCAGGAGAATTGCTTGAACCCAGGAGGTGGAGGTTGTAGTGAGCCGAGATCCTGCCACTGCACTCCAGCCTGGTGACAGAGCGAGACTCGATCTAAAAAAAAAAAAAAGTAGATTGGATGTGTGAGCACGTGTGGTAGAGCCCCGCGTTGTCTTTACAGAATGTTTGCTGGGTAACTTAGCGGCATAATTAGCACTGAGTCCTAATCACGTTCTGATACTCTACAGCATCCATGCGGGCATGAATGATGGACATGATAGTCATTCATTGTCTCATGGAAGCAAGGCGGCCTTTCCAAAGCACAGATGTGGCTGTGTGGTCCCCACTGTCCTTAGGAGATGGTCTGAATCCTTGCCTCACCCTGCAGATTTCATGAGATCACACCACGCCTTAGCACCGCAAGCTCCAGCCATGCTGGATGCCTTATAGCTTCCAGACTGGCTTGTAGCCTTGGTCACCTGAAGTCCCATGCACAAGCTCTTCCCTCAGCCTGGAAGGTTTTCCTGGTGCACCTGACACCCCCCTCAACCCACTACTTCCTACCAGCTCTGAGAACTCCCCGCTTTTCAGGAACCATCAGAGGACTTCCCATGGGGTGCCAGGGCACCCGCTTTGCCTGCTACTGTGGCCAAGCTTTTGACACTGTTTGTCAGTAATTATTGTTTGTGTCCCCCACTAAACCTAAAGCTTCTGCCAAACACAGCACTGGAGACAGCGCCAGTGTCACCAATCGCTCGTTAAGTGAGGACGGCAGGTGCAGCGCTTGTGCCCACCTCTGCTAGTCAGCCCTTCATGGTCATTAGGAAGATTGTTATGGTAGGGATACCGTACCTGGCAACAACA